TTGGAGTCTGCAGCAAGCAAGCCTCGTGCTCGCTTCAGTGCCTGGCTGCCGGCCGCCATCTTGGCTGACAGTTAATTTGCATATACTCACTGATTAGCCAATGAAAAGGGTAGCGGTCGTATGCTAATTACCATGTTTCTCTTTTATTAGTGTAGATTATTCAAGTTGAAGACAAGTACTTGATACATTTATCTGTGAACATAGCTTAGTTCACAGAGAAGCTATTTAGAAATGGATACAAGCTAAATGGTAACTTGGCTTTGAAGAAATATATACTTCAGCATACACTTATATTGAAGAAGACATTGGCTATTGACCTATTTAAAATATTATAAATCATTACTTCTTCACCACCAGTCTGAAAATAAATCTTTTTCTTTTTTAATTATCAGGGAAAGGTTGTTTGTAATGAACTCTATGCAAAAAATCTGTTTGAGCTCTGGCCAGTGTTGCTAAGTGGTTAGAGTGTTGGCCCGTGCATCAAAGCATTGTGGGTTCAATTCCTGGTCAAGGGAGGTACCTGGGTTGTGGGAGGCAACCAATTGATATGTCTCTCTCACATTGATGTTTCTCTCTCTCTCCCCCTCCCTCCCTTCCACTCTCTCTCTGAGCAATGGAAATCCTCAGGTGAGGGTTAACAACAACAATAATGATAAAAAAAAAATAGTCTGTTTGAAAATATGAAACTATATGCCTGAAGTCTCCTTCTTTCAAAGGCTTGTACTACACAAGTTTCTTCAGTGTCTCCCTGTTATCTCCCCTCTTGTGGCCAGTTCCATCGCTACCTTCCTCACTACTTGGGCTGATTGCATTGAGCCTTCCTTTCTCCAACCCCTCTTACCCCTAACCCACATGCCCATCCACTCCATACCTTTCAGCTCTGGCAGGGTTCAGGAAAGACAAACAAACCTTCTGATCCCTCAGCTGGACGTTGGAATCTGAACGTTCATTTCTTCATGTGTAAGATGGCGGTAATAACATTTACCTCATGAGGTTGTTAGGAATTATGACTGTGGTAGAATTTGGAGCAGAGTTCAATGGTCTCATGTGGAAACACAATTCTTCTATTTCATTTAAAAAAGTCAACTTCATCTAGGTAAAATTTACTCTGATAAAATATACCCATTTTGAGTGTATGGTCCAATGAAAGACATATATATGTATTAGAGGCCCAATGCACAAAATTCATGCAAGAGTAGGCCATCCTTCCCCTGGCTGCTGGCACCAGCTTCCTTCTGGCACCTGGGACCTGGGCTTCCCTTGCAGCCCAGCTTCATTCAAAGGATGTCCATTCTAATTAGCATATTACACTTTTATTATATATATACTAGAGGCCCAGTGCACAAAAATTTGTGCACTCGGGGGAGG